CCTGGTAGACCCATTCATAACACAGTCTGGTAGACCCATTCATAACACAGTCTTTTAGACCCATTCATAACAGTACCTGGTAAACCCATTCATAACAGTGCCTGGTAGTTCATAACAGTACCTGGTAGACCCATTCATAACAGACCCATTCATAACAGTTCCTGGTAGACCCATTCATAACAGTCTGGTAGACCCAGTCTGACCCATTCATAACACCCATTGTAACAGTGGTAGACCCATTCATAACAGTCTGGTAGACCCATTCATAACAGTGCCTGGTAGACCCATTCATAACAGTACCTGGTAGACCCATTCATAACAGTCTGGTAAACCCATTCATAACAGTTCCTGGTAGACCCATTCATAACAGTCTGGCAGACCCATTCATAACACAGTCTGGTAGACCCATTCATAACACAGTCTGATAGACCCATTCATGACAGGGCCTGGTAGATCCATTTTGTTTGGATTATGCCATTCACAGACTCCGTGTTTAGACTATTTCTAATGTCTGTCGTATTTTAAATTGAGAAAACACTCCTCTCTACCGCTGCTAATGAATGAGGAAAAATAGAGACAACATTAACTCACTGAAATGAGTTAACACAGAAGATGTGTCAGCATATTGTAAGTTCTTCACTTCATACCCAAATTGTACAGGATTATACAACACCTATAGGAGTTAATGAAGCATTTATATACAGTACCATCACGCGCACACACATGTGTATATGTATTATAGATGCGATTGTGTGTGTATATACATATATATGGTACAAATACCTATATCTTTAAGCGAGGCAGAGCCAGCACTATCCGGCTCTTACCTCCCTCCCTCATCAACCAGCCGGATCTCCATTCACTCAGCCTTAGACTCAGTGAAAATTGAATAAGTGGCTGACGAGAGAGCTGTAGTGTAGTAAATGGGGGTCACTGCGGGACTGGATGACATTATTGAGTTGTAAAATTGATGTTTGTTTTAAAAATTATAATACTAAGCCCTGTGTCATGAAGCAATTAAGACTGAACTGTCAACTTGGCGAAATTCGTAGCCTAACGTTAGACTAAACTGTGCCTTATATCACAGTAACCCAAAGACTAATATTTTGTGATCACACATTCCGTTTTAATATTAATTTAATTTTTGCTTCTGAATGTAAAGAGAATATATAAATTTCCTCGCGGATTAAACAAAAATGTATCGCCTCTGGTCAAAGTATATTGAAATACGCCTTTTTTTTTATTTAGGACCAGAGTACCGTTAGCTTCAAATGGTACCCCTATTGGTACAATGGTACCGCAGGTGGCAATTCCTGGCCCTCTGTATCCTGGCAACGTCCAATTTTCAAAGACCATAGAACTAGTATGGACGAGATGGAGGAACGGGGCGAGGATGTAGAACACTCGAGTCAGGAACAGGCGAGGAGGTACACACTGGTGGCCCTCAGCCCCTGGCATGGTGCCCTCAGCCCCCTGGTGTGGCCCACAGTCCCTAGCATGGTGCCCTCAGCCCCCTGGTGTGGCCCACAGTCCCTGGCATGGTGCCTCAGCCCTGGCATGGTGCCCTCAGCCCCTGGTGTGGCCCACAGTCCCTGGCATGGTGCCCTCAGCCCCCTGGAGTGGCCCACAGTCCCTGGCATGGAGCCCTCAGCCCCCTGGTGTGGCCCCACAGTCCCTGGCATGGTGCCCTCAGCCCTGGCATGGTGCCCTCAGCCCCTGGCATGTGCCCTCAGCCCCCTGGTGTGGCCCACAGTCCCTGGCATGGTGCCCTCAGCCCCTGGCATGGTGCCCTCAGCCCTCTGGTGTGGCCCACAGTCCCTGGCATGGTGCCCTCAGCCCCCTGGTGGGGCCCCACAGTCCCTGGCATGGTGCCCTCAGCCCCCTGGTGGGGCCCACAGTCCCTGGCATGGTGCCCTCAGCCCCTGGCATGGTGCCCTCAGCCCCCTGGTGTGGCCCACAGTCCCTGGCATGGTGCCCTCAGCCCCCTGGTGTGGCCCACAGTCCCTGGCATGGTGCCCTCAGCCCCCTGGTGTGGCCCACAGTCCCTGGCATGGTGCCCTCAGCCCTCTGGTGTGAACCACAGTCCCTGGCATGGTGCCCTCAGCCCCCTGGTGTGGCCCACAGTCCCTGGCATGGTGCCCTCAGCCCCTGGTGTGGCCCACAGTCCCTGGCATGGTGCCCTCAGCCCCCTGGTGTGGCCCACAGTCCCTGGCATGGTACCCTCAGCCCCCTGGTGTGGCCCACAGTCCCTGGCATGGTACCCTCAGCCCCCTGGTGTGGCCCACAGTCCCTGGCATGGTACCCTCAGCCCTCTGGTGTGGCCCACAGTCCCTGGCATGGTGCCCTCAGCCCCCTGGAGTGGCCCACAGTCCCTGGCATGTGCCCTCAGCCCCCTGGTGTGGCCCACAGTCCCTGGCAAGGTGCCCTCAGCCCCCTGGTGTGGCCCACAGTCCCTGGCATGGTACCCTCAGCCCCCTGGTGTGGCCCACAGTCCCTGGCATGGTGCCCTCAGCCCCCTGGAGTGGCCCACAGTCCCTGGCATGGTGCCCTCAGCCCCCTGGTGTGGCCCACAGTCCCTGGCATGGTGCCCTCAGCCCCCTGGTGTGGCCCACAGTCCCTGGCATGGTGCCCTCAGCCCCCTGGTGTGGCCCACAGTCCCTGGCACGGTGCCCTCAGCCCCCTGGTGTGGCCTATAGTCCTTGGCGTGGTGTCCCTCAGCCCACTGGTGCTGGGAGATAATGATGGGTCAAGGCTCGTCCGTGTTGACACTAGAGGACCCCAATAAGAGTGGTAACATGGCCTCTCCGTGACCTTAATTCCTCCGGGAACAGCACTTCCTTCATAACAAACTTCAGCAACACCGGCTGCCTTCTGTGTAGTAACACCAGCTGCCTTCTATACAGCAACACCATCTGCCATCTGTAGAACAACATCTATGTCTCCATCTTCCACCCGTGTCCCCTGATCTTACCTCATCTGAGTTTCCAGGGGCATGGTGGGTGTGGAGAGATTGTGGGCAGCGTGGGCATGGATGGGGGGTAGGGGTAGAGGCAGCGTGGGCAGGGAGGCTGTGGGTGTCACCAACGCAGGCTGGGTATGGAGCCACGTGAACGTAGCAAGTCAGGAGCAAGTTTCAGAGAGAGTTGAGAGTGAGGTCACTGGTTCTTCCACTACCCGTCTGGAACGCGTATAGCTGCGCCCCGTCAGTATAGTGTGTGTGTGTGTGTGTGTGTGTGTGTGTGTGTGTGTGTGTGTGTGTGTGTGTGTGTGTGTGTGTGTGTGTGTGTGTGTGTGTGTGTGTGTGTGTGTCATTACAATTGTTTATAACTCGTAATCTTCTTACAATGTAATAACTCATAATCCTCTTCCTAATACAGTGAATGCAATCTGAGCACTGCTAAAGCAATTATGGCGTACGGAATAATCAGAATGTCTATCTGAAATGAGTTTTACTCTACCAGACCAATCAGGGATACACTGCTGCACCTCCTTCTGTAGCGGCGTTATAACTGTAACTCATACAGCATAGGTATGAAAGAAAGAAACTGAATCCTACAAAGATTTCTTCATCGCTTAGAAAATTCCTTGACTGGAGATATCAACGGGACATAGCAACCAATCCTTCCTATGACTCCACAGACTGGTAATAATCCCATTCGTGGGCAACACTTTTGATTTTTGAACAGTATACGATCACAATCTTGTTATTAGTATATGAAAATTAAGGAATTTGAATGCTTATTCAAATGAATGATTATATCTCGTGTTCAATAATGTCTATCTGAAATGTCCTGTGCATGTTTTTTTTATGTGAATACCAATGACTATAAACAATTTCAATGATTCATAATTTCATAATGACAGTGATTTATTTCATAAATCCTTATTTATTCGATACTCAATAAATTTAATGCCTTATCTATAAACTTAACTGTTTAGAAAATTTATTCCATTATTAAATATTTATATAATTATTGGCCGATGGCAGCAATACCTTTCCATATGAAAATTATTTATAATAAATATTGTAATGTGAATTGTAATTATCAATTTAGCGTTGAATTTTATGTAATTAATACATAAAATGACTCTGTCAGAGTATCATTGAAACGTTCAATGGCTCTCAGGTTATGAATACGACATATGACAGTTCTGTCAGTTTATCATTAAGTCCTACAATAGTTCTGTTAGTTTATCAATAAGTCCTACAATAGTTCTGTTAGTTTATCATTAAGTCCTACAATAGTTCTGTCAGTTTATCATTAAGTCCTACAATAGTTCTGTCAGTTTATCAATAAGTCCTACAATAGTTCTGTCAGTTTATCAATAAGTCCTACAATAGTTCTGTCAGTTTATCAATAAGTCCTACAATAGTTCTGTCAGTTTATAATTAAGACAGACATCAAACACGTCACATTTTTCGAAGCTGTCCAAGTTATTCATCGCTGTTGTTGTATCTTGAAGACCCTTTTGTTCGCTTTTTTCTTGAAGACCCTTATGCTCGGACGATTCTTGAAGACCCAAATGGCCGGTTGGTTGTTTCTTGAAGACCCTTTTGTCCGTTTTTTTCTTGAAGACCCTTATGCTCGGACGATTCTTGAAGACCCAAATGGCCGGTTGGTTGTTTCTTGAAGACCCTTTTGTCCGTTTTTTTCTTGAAGACCCTTATGCTCGGACGATTCTTGAAGACCCAAATGGCCGGTTGGTTGTTTCTTGAAGACCCTTTTGTCCGTTTTTTTCTTGAAGACCCTTATGCTCGGACGATTCTTGAAGACCCAAATGCCCGGTTGGTTGTTTCTTGAAGACCCTTTTGTCCGTTTTTTTCTTGAAGACCCTTATGCTCGGACGATTCTTGAAGACCCTTATACTCGGACGATTCTTGAAGACCCTTATGTCCAGTTGTTTCTTGAAGACCCAAGTGTCCGAACGATTCTTGAAGACCCAAGTGTCCGGACGATAGTTTGCAGGAGTGGTGCGAGCCAGTGCTGGTCGTACACCCGCCACCCCAGCCCTCGTATATAAGAACGGCCGTCGCCGCCACAATAGTGAAAGGGAAGGCGCGAGACTCTTCTCATCTTCCTGTGTACTCAACAACGCTCAACTTCGCAATCAACTCTGGTAAGGTAATTTCTCAATTCCCTGCGTTATTTGTGGGAATAACGCGGGAGTGTTGCGTGTATGATAACTGTGAATATTAGTGAGTTAACGAGGCGTACGGTACTTGGAACTCGAAAACGTTCAATTTTTTGTGATTATCGGATTGATATGAAGATGAATTTTCTTGCAAGTTTTCAAGAAAATGAGATGTTTTGTTGACCCGTTACATGGGAAAGTGAGGCAAATGAGACGAGTGGGCAGAGGTTGAGCACCTAAGTCGATGCCCCTGTGGAAAGTGAACCCCCGCATGATGAGGGTGGGGGGGGTGGGGGGGAGGTGCCCATACCCCCCATTCCTCTCCCCCTCCCACTCCCCCCACTCATACCCCAGTGCAGTGCCCGCGGTGCCTCTGTACTCTCTGAGACACCTCGCTAGTGCCTCTCATTGGCATTTTGTGACACTTCTCTCACTGCTCGTGTGGCAATGTTCCCTCTCTCTCACTGCTCGTGTGGCAACCTTCCCTCTCTCTCACTGCTCGTGTGGCAACCTTCCCCCTCTCACTGCTCGTGTGGCAACCTATCCCCTCTCACTGCTCGTGTGGCAACCTTCCCTCTCTCTCACTGCTCGTGTGGCAACCTTCCCTCTCTCTCACTGCTCGTGTGGCAACCTTCCCCCTCTCACTGCTCGTGTGGCAACCTATCCCCTCTCACTGCTCGTGTGGCAACCTTCCCCCTCTCTCACTGCTAGTGTGGTAACCTTCCCTCTCTCACTGCTCGTGTGGCAACCTTCCCCCTCTCTCACTGCTCGTGTGGCAACCTTCCCTCTCTCACTGATCGTGTGGCAACCTTCTCTCTCTCACTGCTCGTGTGGCAACCTTCCATATCTCACTGCTCGTGTGGCAACCTTCCCTCTCTCTCACTGCTCGTGTGGCAACCTTCCCTCTCTCTCACTGCTCGTGTGGCAACCTTCCCTCTCTCACTGCTCGTGTGGCAACCTCCCCCCTCTCTCACTGCTCGTGTGGCAACCTTCCCTCTCTCACTGATCGTGTGGCAACCTTCCCTCTCTCTCACTGCTCGTGTGGCAACCATCCCTCTCTCACTGCTCGTGTGGCAACCTTCTCTCTCTCACTGATCGTGTGGCAACCTTCCCTCTCTCACTGATCGTGTGGCAACCTTCCCTCTCTCTCACTGCTCGTGTGGCAACCATCCCTCTCTCACTGCTCGTGTGGCAACCTTCTCTCTCTCACTGATTGTGTGGCAACCTTCCCTCTCTCTCACTGATCGTGTGGCAACCTTCCCTCTCTCTCACTGCTCGTGTGGCAACCTTCCCTCTCTCTCACTGCTCGTGTGGCAACCTTTCCTCTCTCACTGCTCGTGTGGCAACCTTCCCTCTCTCACTGCTCGTGTGGCAACCTTCCCTCTTTCTCACTGCTCGTGTGGCAACCTTCCCCCTCTCACTGCTCGTGTGACAACCTTCCCCCTCTCACTGGTCGTGTGGCAACCTTCCCTCTCTCACTGCTCGTGTGGTAACCTTCCCCCTCTCACTGCTCGTGTGGCAACCTTCCCTCTCTCACTGCTCCTGTGGCAACCTTCCCTCTCTCAATGCAAACGTAACACTTTCCCTTAACACACCCTTAAGGAGTGCCTCAAGAGTGCCAACCCTTAAGGGGTGCCATAAGAGTGCCTCTGCGCCTCCCAGACCCCTCAAGTGATGCCCAATAATGGCACTGGCTCCCTTCACCAGGCGTGGGTGACACTGGGGCAGGTCTCGGCAAGGCCTTGCCGGGCGGACGTAGTGAAAGGAGATATATAGAGGCCATAAAGATTTTATTTTTGTCCTCTTGTATGCGGGTATCTGTTGTAAGCGTGTTTGTACTCATTTGTAGTCGACTGGAGTACATTGTTGGATGTGTAAATGTGGTTGTGTGTGTGTGTGTGTGTGTGTGCATGTTAGTTGGTAATTACTGAAGTGTAGTTACAGAATGAGAGCTACGCTCGTGGTGTCCCGTCTTCCCAGTACTCTTTGTCGTATGACGCTTTGAAACTACTGACGGTTTGGGCCTCCGCCACCTGTTACCTAGCAGTAAAATAGGTACCTGGGTGTTAGTCAGCTGTCACGGGCTGCTTCCTGGGGGTGGAGGCCTGGTCGAGGACCGGGCCGCGGGGACACTAAAGCCCCGAAATCATCTCAAGATTACCTCAAGATAACCTTCTGACTTGTCCCAACCGTCTACCACTTTGCAAAAGAAAATGTTCTAATGTTTATTCAGCACCTCTGTTTTATTAGCTTGAATATGTGTCCTCTTGAAGTGTGTGTGGGGGGGGGGGGTGACCCCTCATCCTGTAGTCCCCCCTCTAGTGGCTCTTTAGCCCTCATGGCCCCTCCTCCCCTCCTTGGCTTCCCCTTGCTCCCCTGACCCCTTTCCCTTCTTTACCTTAGTGACCTTCCCTACCCTTCGGGCCATACTTGTGGCCGAGTGATCCTACCCATACTGCGGATCACCCATGTAGAGAGCAACACTGCACAACACCTTCATGTTCTACATAGGACAACACAACCATAGCAGACAACACTTCCTCGTCAACACTGACAGTTATCCCTGGAAACACAAACCTAAACTGTCTCTATTTTCTGCTTGTTACAACTTGTAATAAAGTTGTTACATCTTGGCTTAACGTGTTTATGACGTATTAGAACGTTGTTACAACTTGCTATATTGGTTGTTATAACTGGTTAGGTGTTAAAACTTGTTCGAACGTTGTACCAACGTCGTAGGTTTTGGTGTGTGTTTGGCGGGATAGGGTGTAACAGCATCGTTGAACACAAGGCAGGATTCCGCTACACCGAGACGATCTATACTCCACAGCCTCTGAGTTACAAGACATAAACAAACCTTTTCCCACATATCCGTAGCAACTCCGCCTCATAACACGCCTACATGTGATCATAGAACATACAAGGAAAACGAGACATTCGTAATTACAAGCGACTACAAGAGTGTAGCGTATTGTTACCGGGTCGTAGCTCCTGTAATTGGTTGTTTCTACATAACGGTAATATTAGCGTCACTCACACGTGTGTGCGAGTCTCCAGCAGCTCCGTGTACACAAGTGTCATAGTCCTACCTACACTGCACTACCGAAGCGTCCTTACCGACGAGCTTAGAGTCACTCAACCTTGCAGCCGTGTGCTGCCAAGTAGGTCGGTTCTCAGGTCCTGCGTCAGCAGGACGACGCCCTTATTGTATCCTTCGTGCCGCTCTGCCGACCTGACTATCTCACTGTGTTGACCCACACGTCCCGGCTGTGTCTCCTTGTTACAGGGACCTGTTAGACTCTAGCAGTTAACTATAAGTCTCCGTGGTGCAGTGGTAAGACACTCGTCTGGCGTTCCGCGAGCGCTCTGTCATGGGTTCGTATCCTGGCCGGGGAGGATTTACTGGGCACAAATCCTTAACTGTAGCCTCTGTTTAACTCAACAGTAAAATGTGTACTTGGTTGTAACAACGATTCCTCGCGGCGGGTGTTCCAGGGACCTGCCCGTAACGCTGCGCGTACTAGTGGCTGTACAAGAATGTAACAGCTCTTGTATATATCTCAAAAAACAACAACAACAACTGTTGGACTAGCGAGGGAGGCTAAGACCATGGCTTAGTTTACGAGTTCTTTAATTCCCGCTGTCGGCAACAGGAAGCCTGTACTTAGGGTTACTGTGGTCCCCAATAGGTCAACTACTGACCTTCCTTAAGATAGAGCCCACGAGAGTTCCCTACCTCCTGAGTACCTATTTACTGCTAGGTTAACAAGAGGCATCAGGTGAAAGGAAACCTTCCCTGACCTGTCCATCACTGTCAGACCTGACCTTCCCTGACCTGACCTGGCATTAAGCGCTACAAGTCACAAGTCAGTACAGAGGAACGTCCTCAACACACACCATTAATGTATGATGACTTACTGTAAATATATAGCTCTTGTAATAGCACTTTCTCTGTAACTAGCTGACATTGTAACTATAAGTTGTGAAGGATAGAAGAAATTGTTTATGTAATAATTTAAGATGAGGTCTGATAAAGACCTTTTGTGCCCTCTGTAATGCTTTTGCGCTACCGCTCACAGGATGAGTATGGGGTGCACAATAAACTAGCCCCCTTCGGCGGCAACAATAAAAAAAAAAACATTCACCAAACGCGCCGCGGTACTTCAAGAACAGATCATCTAGCCGCCTCGACATGATAACATTGTGAAGCCGTGCGATGGGCTCCTGCCCGCCATTCCTGGACTTCGAGCCTACGGCACGGCTTCAGTATTTGCTCTTTGATGGAGATATTTGATACAAAGGAACACTTGGGAAACAAAGATGAGGACAAAGAACCTTCAACTGGGTGCCTGTGGGAGGGATACTGAAGTTTGAAATAAATTCGCATGCTTCCTCTCCACTTGACAGGTGAGTGACAGCTGAGAGCCGAGTGGACAGCGCTTCAGATTCGTAGTCCTGAGGTTCCGGGTTCGATCCCCGGTGGAGGCGGAGACAAGTGGGCAAAATGTTTCTTTTACCCTGATGCCCCTGTTACCTAGAAGTAAATAGGTACCTGAGAGTTAGACAGCTGCTACGGGCTGCTTTCTGAGAGTGTTTAACAAAAAGGAGGCCTGGTCGAGAACCGGGCCGCGGGGACGCTAAGCTCCGAAATCATCTCATGATAACCTCTCAAGATAACCTGGCTCGCCAGTTGACCTGTCTGGGCCACAAGTTGTCCAGCCGAGGACGGCTCCTGCTTCTTATTGCGGTTAAGGGAAGAAGGAAGTGGCGATTGATCACGTAATTTGTTGTTGGAAGCGGTCAGCCAAACGTTGTGACACCGGTGGGTTATAATATTAAGATGTTTGAGAGACGGGACGCCCACCAAACACACACCCAAACTACGACGTTGGTACAACGGTCGAACAAGTTTTAACACCTAACCAGTTATAATAACCAATATAGCAAGTTGTAACAACGTTCTAATACGTCATAAACACGTTAAG